ATACTGGTGAAACGAGCGTCTTGAAGATCTGAGGATAAATTGCATGAGAGTAAAAATAAAGTGTCCGAGGTTAAGAATAGTGCAAGCAATAGATTTGAAAGAAAGAATATATGAATTAAAGTGAAAACAGGAATGATATAAGACGATATAAAAGAGAAAGGTGGAGTTACCGGCTTCATGACTTCGAAAGTGATATCTGGAGGCAGGGCTTCAAGATTGTCTGTACCGAATTGAAGGGGAAAAAGACACATTGCCCCTGCCTGAGGAGGAGAAACTCCGTTTAAGACGGGACCTCTTTTATTAAGTGGAGGATAGACGAGGATAGATACTTTTTTCGTCTCTTACGGGTTGGAACTCGACGAAGCTGTTGAACGGATGAAGATCCAAAGGGCACCTGGCATAGATGGAGTCATGCTAGAGACAGTAAGTAAGAGCGCCCACCAAAGTAGCGTGGCACGTGGCATGTAGCAAGTAGCACGCGTCTAGCATGTTACTTAAAATGTAACCAATGAAAACGAATGATTCTCCACACACCAAAATGACAGTGACGTCATTCGATCTAATCATTCGTTTGCATTGGTTACATTTTATGTAACATGCTAGACGCTTGCTACTTGCCACGTGCCACGTGCCACGCCACTTTGGTGGGCGCTCTCCCTAAGACTTACTATACTAAGATACCTGCAGGTTTTCCTGAGATTGCTAATCAAACTGCTTAAATAACAGCAGTTTCCAATACTGTTGAAACAAGCTAAGGTTGTCCTTATCCCGAAAGGTAGAGGTGAAGTGAAAGAGGTACAATTACAACCAATTTGCTTCGTAGTTCGGTAGCTAAATTCTAGAAGAAAAGCATGCGCTAAGCGACCGCCAATATGGTTTTAGGACCAAAAGGTTCACCATAGATGCGGTCACAGAAATACCCTTTTTAGTCACGCAGGATACAAAGAGATGGGTGGCTTTTATTCTACTTGAAGTCAAGAATGCCTTTAACATGGCATCATAAAAAAAAATCATATCCAAGCTGAGAAAATTGGGCGTTAGTGAGTACCTGGTCAACCTAATTGACATATACTTTACTGATAGATCCATAAGAGAAAAAGATACCAGCATTAGTTTGTCGCAGGGTGTTCCGCAGGGTTCAGTACTAGGTCCTATCCTGTGGAATGTCTTGTACGCCAGGGTGTTGAGGCTACAGATGCCAAGAGGATGCACTCTTGTCGCTTATGCCAATGATCTCGCACTGGTTGCGAAGGCGAGTCAAAAAACGAACATGGCTAATGCGGCTAACACATCCCTGCGTCGTATTAGTAGGTGAATCTGAGAGAACGATCATGAGAGAACGTGTATTCGAGGAGAACGGATGAAAATATAGATGAAAATGGGAGAGAAAAAATGATAGTGAAGTGGCAAAGAGAATAGACGAATGAGCGGAAAGGCAAGATGAACGAAGGAGCTTATTCCCGATCTGAGGCCGTGGTGGGAATGTAAGTTCAGGAAACTAGACTACTTCCTGATGCAGTTGCTCACCGGGTATGTTAGTTTTGCCACCTTCATAAATAGAATAGGAAAATTTGCCTCGACAGACTGTACTGTTTATGGTGTACCGGACTTCGAGTGGAGACTTCGAGAGCCGAATGGGTTTCCGGCTAGATAAATGAAACATGGTAAACATAATGTTGAGAGAAGAGATAGAATAAATAGCCAGAGAGACACTGTCTGATTTCTGGGGTGATAAAGAAGAAGGAGCAGGAGGACAGAGAAGGAACTTAAACCAGGGATCTGAAATTATTGTTATTATTTTTCATTAGTTTATGGCCTAACGGAAATATTTTCTGATTAACATTAATTGGTATGGTTATTTGTAAGTTTTATTTTCATTTTGGTTGTTCATTGAGTGGCAAGACCACCTCTCCGGTTAAAACCTGCACCGTTAATCTAGCTATACGGCAATTAAAAAAAAAGTATGTACTACGAGCACGCCATGTTTATGGTTGTATAGTAACTTCCAGTCTCTTCCAGTTAAAGTTATAATTTTACCAACAGAGCACAAAATTACTACTAAATTTTTTTGGTAATGGTATAATTTTAAAAATATGGCTAATGTGCAATTTACATAAAATACCCTGTGTATTATAACCTGGACACTCTCTAAAAGGGAGGAAACGTTATTAGCCACCTTTGAAAGAAAAATCTTGCGACACATATATAAGGGCACAAAAGAAAACGGGATTTGGCGGAGAAGGTATAACTTTGAACTATACAACATATACCAGGATCCGGATATCATAACATTCATTAAAATAGGAAGGCTACCTTGGATTGGACATGTGGAAAGAATGGAAGAAGGCGAAATACCAAACAAAATATTCAAACAAGTGCCAGTAGGAAAAAGAACAAGAGGAAGACCGAAGCTGAGATACGTAGAACAAATAGAAAATGATATAACAACATTAAAAATTAAAAACTGGAAAAAAAAAGCACGAAACAGGTCAGAATGGAGAAGAATCCTTGAACAGGCCAAGACCCAAAAAGGGTTGTCGAGCCAGTGATGATGATGATGATACCCTGTATATTATATTGAAAGTTTTTATTTTTTGTTATTGAAATGGATTGTAAATAAGTAGACGGAAACTTAAAAGTGTGTTTAATAATTAAAATAGGAATAATTATTGTAGTAACATTTCAAAAATGTAAGGAATAAAAAATAGCAGGATATCAAATAAGTCATAGCGTTGTATTAAAAAAATAAAGTTTACCTATGGGAACAAACACTTTAATTAATGAAATTCAGTCTATCTCTAGACTATGGGCAGTTTAGATCTTATCTCGCACTTCCTCATAATTTTTATGCTCGGTTTAACTCCAAAACATATTTGCACATTAAGATAATAACTACTATTTGTACATAGAGGTATGACGCACTACAACTAATAATAAAAGACTTTAACAAGGTTAGGTGATAAATCACCCTTCCACGTAAAAAGTACAACAAAATAATACGGAAATAAAACGTTTCACATGTTTTGTTTTATTTTTCAAGCAAAAACGTCATACAAAAATTCAGTAACGTCCAAATACATAAACTTTTTAGTGATAATTGTCTTGTCTATATTAAAGGTGATTTTAAGGTAGATCTTAAATGTCAAAACAACAATACAGCTGATATCGAATCACTCAGTACAAACTTTAACTCTCCAGGTTCATCGAAAGGACCAAAAGAGCGGTATTATTGAATGGAGAGTTTTTAATCAGCAGAATTAAAAAAATTTTATACTTATGCTAGGGAAACAATATTCTTCTTCTTGTTCTTTTTGTATAGAAATGACTCTGTCTGTTTTTCAATGTGCCTCCATCATTGGGAACCGTTTCTTGCCGCCTTTAAAAAAAGGTTTATATGATTGTTCCATTTTGCTCTTCTATTTCTTACCCAGTTCTTAATGTTCTTCACCTTGCGTCTACGTCGTATATCTGTACTTCTAGCTCTGTTCCATAGTGTCTTACCATCAATTTTTTTTGTGTTTTCATTTCTGCAGTTTCTAACATCCCTTTTGTTCTCTCTGTGTCAAGTCTTGTTTCTGCAGCGTAGGTCATTATTGGTCTGATGACTGTTTTGTAAATTCTGCCTTTCATTTCTTTCGCGATATTTTTATTTCTTCATATGGATTCGTTTAGGCAGCCTGAGGCTCTGTTTGCTACATTCACTTGATCTTCTGCTTCAGTTTCGAGGTTTCCGTAGCTAGATAATGTGATTACTAGATGTTTAAACTCCATCACTTGTTCTATTATCTGACATTCCAGCTCCAATTTACATCTGAGTAAATTTGCTGTTATAACCATGCATTTTGTCTTTTTCGAGGAAATTAAAATGTTAATTTGATGGTAACAAATTGGTGCAGCATACGTTGTAAATAATCTTTACTTTAAGACAGTATAATTGCGTCGTCTGCATAGCAGAATATTTTTTTGTTGTTTTACTCCCATTTGGTATCATTTTTTAGTTCTTACTTTTTTTATTATTTCATCCATAATCAGGTTAAACAAAACTCAGGAAAACTGACTCAGGAAATCTCCCTGTCTTATCCCATTACCAGCTTCAATGGGGTCGGTAAGTCGGTTCCACTTTTACTTTTATTTTGTTTTGGTAGATATTTTCGATCGTTTTGATTATTCCTAGAGGTATCTCTCTTGCATACAGTAAGTGGATAACGTCTGTAAATTACTAACGTTTTGTCGAGTCTGACCCAAGATCCGGAAAAGCTTGATCCAATTAAGCTGACAAATCTGGCCAGTTTGCCTTCTTGAAGTTGAATCTCCTTACGAAGGCAGTATAAGGTGTTTTATGGCTGCATTTACTTCTATTCCCACTGGTTGATGTTGAGTTTTTCTATCATGTTATCATTTTGCTACTTACAGAGGTATGCCGGAAACAATAACCAGTATATTCATTTTGATGTTCTTGATTCAGAAATATGGTAATTTGTTTAAGTAATTTAGTTAATGAATACCAACTACTTGTGTACATTTATTTTGTTTACTTAATTTGTTTTTCAAATAAAGTTAGATAAAATGAATATATTAACCAAACGAAGCAAAAACTATGTAATATTTTGGTAATTAATAAAAAATTCTGAGAAAAAAGATCAAAAATTATTGCATTTATTAATGTTTTTAACTTTTTAAAAATGTTTGTAGAATTATTGCACTCACTGCTAGTAGTTTGTGGAACTATTTTTATTTCCGTGTACCTATCATTTTTATATCATTTACTTAATTTAATGGGAGAAAACCACAATTGATTAACGGATGGTACTCTATATTTTTACATTTCGAATTTCACATCGGAAATCTTTCTCAAAATCGAAATTAAACAAAAAACGCTTTCCGATTGTTTATTCCCATTAAATTCAGTAGTTAACTAATAGTCGCAGAGTAAAATATTTCTGTTTAACATTATATGTAAATATTAATACGAACAATATTTAGCAAGAATTTAAACATACCGCCAAAGATTTATCACTTGGACTCAACGTGCCTCCTAACTTTAAATTTGCTGCTATCATCATGGCTTCTTCCACAGTCAACATTGGTTGGATTAGATCCTCTTGCATAATATACCTAGACATTTTCCTGAATTGTTTTAAATTTCTTGTCGTTCCATTTATCAAGATTTGCCCTGTCGCTCCTAGTGTTCTGGAAATAAAAACGTATGTTAGAATAAAGATAAACTAAAGAATTGTTGAATTTAACTATATATGTATATATATTAAATTTATAAAAATCTAATAAAAAATTAAATTCACCGACCGGTAAAATCGTTTTATTAGATTTGTAAGATTCATTTATTTGAATAAGTAATGGTTTTTCTAATTTAGTAGAAAATTGGCAGATATGAGAATAGATATGTGTACGTTAATATATGATAACAACAAAGGAGTTTTTATAAATGGTTAATGTTAATAGTCCAAAGATATCAATTTTGGAATATAAGGTTTAAGTTTTTTAAATAGGTAAAGAAATAATAAATAAGACTTACTCACAATCAATATAATTTACCTATCAGACGACCGGTTTTGCTTTCTACAATATGCAAAGCATCTTCAGGTCTCGATACAAAGTTAAATAATTGCTGAAATTATAAAAACCCATATTAGGGTGTTGTCTAATACAGAGAATCAAATTAGATGTTATAAATTACAATAATTATGCCAATATTACGTGTCTGTGGTTTTATTTTCAAAATGAGTAAAATGAATAAGAGGTATAAAAAGTTTTAAAAGGTTAAACAGACAAGGTAAGACCTACAAATTGTTATAAAATAGTCTATTAGATTGTAATAAATTAATAAATGAGCAAATAAATAAACATTACTTACATGCCGGTACTCTATTAATTGATGGATGGTAGAACATGGTTAAAACTATCATGTATTGTTGAATGGAGAACTTAATTCTGCTATTGTAGTTGTTTGACAGTAAACGGGAAGTTTCACACCTTGGAACGCATTTCACACCTTGGAATGACCAAGGTTATGTGATATCATAATAGCATTGAGCTTGTGTTGGACAACTTATAGAATTTGATTGGTCAAAAGGGATGGCGTGGTATGTAGGATGTGTTTGTCTAATTGGAGAAAAGGAGAAATGACAGTAAAGGAAGACTGTTGCTCAAATGGTGTATGTGTGGGAGACATTGACAGGCAGAGGAGATAGCAGACGTATGTAAAACAACTTAGAGTACGAGCAAAAGGAATTGGAAATAAAAGGTTATTTTGTCATACAATCAACAAAGACTTTCAACTTTCAATTAATTTTGTTTTTTTATAATTTATTTAGTAATTTTATTTCATTTTACAATAGATATAATGTTTTAATTAAGATATAAAGAAAGTTCTTGAATCTATATCTGTATTTCTTATAAAAATAGGAAGACTAAGATGGGCAGGAAATCTGGCAAGATCACAGCTGAACAACCCTCCTAGAATAACCCTTATGTCACACCCTGTGGGAAGTAGAAGTAGGGGTAGGCCAAAACTCAAATGTAGGGATGGTGTAGATGAGGATGGTAGAAAAATAGGCGCAGCAAACTGGCAACAGTTAGCAATGGATAGAACTTACTGGCGTAATAGGCTTGGGAAGATCGAGGCTCTTTTATAGGGCTGTAGCACCAATGATGATGATGATAAGTTCTTGAAAGAACATTTTTGTCTTGATTTAATTTAAAAAAAAAACAGAGAAGAAACCTTTTATTTAAATACAAGTCCAACCATTTATTAATAATGTGTATAGGAATTTTATTGAATTTGTAATTCTAATTATACGGATTAGCGCATATGATATACGATTTTGATTCATTGTAAAATTGTCTGACTTTAATAATTTTTTTATTGTTATTATTTAATAAATTATTTAATACTTTGGTATCACAAAATTATTTGGTTTAATTTATTTTAGTATTGTCCATCTTTTTTTAATTGAGATTGCAACATTATTATGAGAAATCTGTTAAATCGATTTTAATGAAATTTGGTGGTCTGTTTTATTATTGGGACCGTGCAAGTTCGGAACAGCGACATCTGGTGTCGTAAATCAGCAAAATTTACTGCGCTTTCATGTTAGTCATAATAAGGATACCGGATAATTGTCCAGGACGTAGCCCCAAAAAAGAATAAGAAGAAAAAGTAAGATTGATCTTATGTCAGTATGTTATTAAAAGGTAAACGTTGTATGTAGTGTAAATACAAATAAATATATTATTAAATTACAGCATTACTATTAATATGGATGCAAGAATAAAAACTGGATTTGAGAAATTAAATCACCAAATAACTTTTCAACCAAGCACTGAGTCAAAGGAAAAAGCTTTAGTAGTGGCAAATGTCAAAAAAGAATGGGAGAATTATGTGGAATAATTAAGAAAAATAAATTACCATAAATAATGCTAGTGTATAAATGCATAAATTAGCAGGTTAAGCCCATGGTATTGGTTTGAACAATTAATTTTTTTCCTGTAAACTTTTAGACAGCGAATATATCTTAATGCATCTTCACAAAAACTTGAACTTGATGCACTTTTGTAAACTTCAAAAAAATAAAATTTAAATATTAAACTTGATTTTTGGGTTAAAATGAACTCTAAGTGAGTGATATGAAACTAAAAGTTACACTTAAAAGTGAACTTTTATTTATTTCAAACTAACTTTAAAATCGGGCGCAAGAATAATGCATAATTTAGGTTATGTTACTTATGCTTTTTTATGATATAAATTCACTTTTCTCTTTGTAGTAATTGTGCTTCGAAGTTGGAAACGAATAAAACTTAAATTGACAATTTTTTGTTGTATTTTTACAATTTATAACACAGCATTTTTTCCTAAATCCAATTTTCTTTAGTGACAGAAGGTGTAAATAAACAAACGAATATGAAATATGACAATTGACAATATGAATTTATGAAATCTATGAAATGTGCAGTAAAAAATGCAAGATTTCTCCGCTACTCGTGCACGTTTCTTGTATCACATCCAAGTACTTGCACGTCGCCAATATTATAAAGATTTTTTAGGCAAATTATGAAAGTCCTAAATGGAATCTAAGCGGTTAAAAAATATTGAATAAGATAAGGATTGGTGTTTTTTTTTGTATTTATTGCTATTTTGCAGCAAGGTTAATAAATTAAAATAGTTTTAACCAGCAGTATCTCATAGAAAATTTAATTTTCCCTATTTTATTTCCTTGTGATTTTGCTCCAAAATGAATGAATTATTTTGGTCCAAAAGTTATATGCAAGGAAATTGGAAAAAATCGATGTTTTTAGTAATTTTTAAATATTTTAATTCGTTTATTAATGTTCCTGGCCTCTTTAAGAGTGAGAATCAGTCACTAAATACTACTGAAGTTATCAAACAGCTGCCACAACAGTGGCAGCCGTAGCTCAGTGGCTATATTACTCGCTTAACAAGCTGGAGGGTTTGTATCCCGACACCGACAAAATATTCAATTTTTAATTTAACTGAGCTGCCACCGCGCTTCGGAGGGCACGTAAAGCTGTCGGTCTCGGCTACGAAAGTAGCCGTTAAATTATGTAAGGGGCACTTGCGCGACCTAAAAACCCTAACACTAGACCTTAGCCAGAAGGTTACACGAACTTTGCTTTTTTTATCAAACAACTTTTTCTGCATAAACCTGAATGCTACCTCTTACATCAAAATTTAGTCGTTTTCTGACAGATTCGTCCTAGTTAGTACTAGTTTTGTGTTACCGTTCACCTAAAACTTTTAACTACGTACGATCTCCTTCTTCTTAGCTTCTGTCGTCCATGTTTGGACATAGGCCTCTCCCAACTTCTTTCATCGGTCTCTATCCTGAGCAACATATTTCCAATTTTTTCCGGCTATTCTTTTAATGTCATCAACCCATCTCATCTGTGGTCTTCCTCTTGGTCGTTTACTTTCGTAAGGTCTCCAATGTTGTATTGTAGTATTCCAACGTTGGTCTTTCTGTTTAGCAGTGTAGCCCGCGAAGCTCCATTTAAGTTTTGCAATTTTTATTGTTATGTCCTCGACTTTTGTTTTGGATCTTACCCAGTCGTTTCTCTTTTTATCTGACAGTCGTATACCTAACATTGCTCTTTCCATTGTTCTTTCTGTTGTGGCTAGTTTATTCATGTTTGCCTTGGTTAGGGTCCAGGTGTGACATCCATGTCATGATAGGAAGGATGCATTGGTTGAATACTTTGCTCCTTAAGTATTGGGGTATTTTGCGGTTCTTAAGTATCCAACTAAGTTTTCCAAATCCTGCCAATGCTAGTCTTGCTCTTCTAGTAATTTCCGCACTTTGGTTCTCTTTGTCAAGTCTCAGGATTTGGCCTAGGTAGATATATTCCTGGATTTGTTCTATCCCACTGCCGTTTATAGTTATATGTCTGGGTTCTTCTGTGTTTGTCATTATTTTTGTTTTTTTTTTGTCATATTCATTTTTAGGCCGACGTATTGGGAGCTGGATGCTAGTTCCCGCAACATAATTTGCAGGTCCTCGAATGTGCTCGCTACTACGTACGATATTTTCATTTAAAATAGCAGGTTTTGTACTGCGGAAAACTGGAGAATATCAAGAACTGGGTAAGAAATAGAAAAGTAAAATGGAACGATTATAAGCCTCATGACAACAAATAGACTAGTAAAGACGACAAGAGACGGTTATCCAATACGAAGACGACCAGTAGGAAGATCACAAAAACCATGGATCGATAGCTTACTGGAGGCACATTGAAAATCAGAGTCATGTCTACATAAAAATAAGAAGAAGATGAAGGTTTTGTACTATGCATATGTACGCACATGCACCTGATAAGTGGTGTGATGTGTTGTAAATGGGGGGTGGTGGGTGGATGATGCCGGATTATTGGATTTGTCGGTTTATTGAAATGTATTAGTAAGATTCTACTGTGCTTTAAAAATGTTTGACGAGTTTTACGCCTGCAGCGGCAAATATGTAACATTGAAAAGAAACTTATGTTCCTTATATTTCCCTTTTTTTAATGTTATTTTGAGAGTTAAATATATACTCTGTTAAAAGTGATAATCCTTGTTTCAATTGCAATATCATGTAAAGTTTAAAAACTTGATTTAAAAAATTATAAAGGTAATTTTATGAATATATTGAAAAAGGATAAACTTTTTAGCAATAGTTACC